GTACTTTAAAAAAAAAAAAAAAAGGATCCGTTTTATCTTAGGTGCCTAAGGTTTTTTGCCTGCATGTGTGCTTGTGCATGACATGTATGTCTGGTGGCTGCTAAGGCCAGAAGATGGTGTTGGATCCCCTGGAATTGGAGTTACAGACAGTTGTGATCTACCACATGGGTGCTGAGACCCGAGCCCAGCCCTCTGCAAGAGCAGTCAGTGCCTTTAACCACAGAGCCATCTCTCTGGTCCGGAGGCACTTCTTGATTCTTAACAAGGTCTCATTTGTTCCCTGCTGGTCTTAATCTAGTCATATAAATGAGAATGTCCTTGAACTTCTGATCTTCCTGCCTGCACTTTCCAAATGCTGGAATTACTGTCATGTGCCTCCACCTAGGTTCATACATCACAGGGGATTAAACCTAGGGATCTGAATGCTAGGCAAGAGCTCTTGTGATGGAACTACATCTCCAGCCCCACATTTTTGTTGTTGTTGATTTTTGATTATCTCTGTGTGTATCTCTGGCTCTCCTGGAACTAACTCTCTCTCTCTCTCTCTCTCTCTCTCTCTCTCTCTGTCTTTCTCTCTCTGTCTCTCTCTGTGTCTCTGTGTCTCTGTCTCTCTCTCTCTCTGTCTCTCTGTCTCTCTCTCTGTCTCTCTCTCTCTCTCTCTCTCTCTCTCTGTAGACCAGGCTGGCCTTGAACCCACAGAGTTCCGCCTGTTTCTTCCTCCTAAATGCTGGGATTAAATGCGTGAATTATCATCATCACCACCATCACCACCACCACCACCACCACCACCACCACCACCACCACTGTTCCCCCAACGTCTAGCCTAGGCTGGCCTTGAAACCATGATCCTCCTGTCTCTCTGCCTCCTTCAGTAAACCCACCACGACCAGCTAGTCCCACTTTCTGAAACTCTTTGTTTTGGCAGATACTGGTCATTGCTCCCCGTCCTGTCTAACAGGAAAGACTGAAGATGACAGCTACACAGTAGAAAGACCCGTTTCTCAGCCTCCTTTGCAGTTTTACATATGAGCAGAATTTCCTGGTGACTCTGGGATGTAGGGAAAACTCAAGCCCCACAAAGGACACAGGATCCAGGGACAAAGGGCGCCTGAGCTCCTGAGATTGTATGGAGCCTAGTAAGACTAGGCCATCAGTGCACATGGTCTCTGCTATCTGGAGAATCTAAAGGGGGAAGCCATGGGGGAAATTTTTCACAAGAGAAATGTAGAGTGCTGTTACCCGCAAAGATAATCAAAAAAGAAATTGCTCTCCAAACTGGTAAGTGAGCTCAGCAAGTAAGAAAACAAAACCTTCATTTTTTTTTTTGTTTATGTGGTGGATTTTTTTTAAGTAATCTTATTAAATTATAAAAGTTTCCATTTCTGCCCGGCCAGCGCCAAGTTCAGGACCTGTCGTACAGACAGGAAGGAGTCCACCAGTTTATCAGAAAATAGAATAAGAACTGAAAGGGAAGACGCCTTGATGCACAGATCAGCCCTTCATTCAACCAGCAAACGTTACTCGAAGCCCGACAAACACAAGGCAGATAGAAATGGCAGCTCAGCAGAGACCTAAGGCAGAATAAATCAGCAGAGACCTAAGGCAGAATATGTCCTGCACAGGGATGGAAAGGGATGCCAGCCTGTTAAAATGTGCCCCCCACCCTGGGGCCATATCCAGAGTTTGACCCCCTTTCATGTATACCCCCTTGTGTTAGTCAGAGGTTACCATGACAGAATCCCTGAGACGAATGAGTTAAAAAGAGGAAACGCTCCTTTGAGTTCATGGTTTCAATACTTGAAGCCTTTGCTGCTTTGCATGTGTGGCAGGTACAGAGGGGTGGAGGAGCTTGGGACCCAGTGTCACCCTCAAGAGTATATTCCCTGAGATTTCAGTATCTTCTACTACCTTCTAAAGCCTCTGCCAGCTCCCAATATTGCCATAAAGTGGGGTCCGGACTGCACTGTGTAGGCTTTTGGCAACCGTTGAAGGTAGCACCCTTACCCCTGAATAGGAACCTTATAGATTCCTGCCAGGTCTCTTAAGCCCAGATCCCCTTTGAGCTATTTAAGAAAAGCCAGACAAGATCTGGTCCATGAAAAGGTACAGAGGTAAGCCAGGTGAGTGACATAAGACTACAGTTCAGAGGCCCAAATTGTGGCTCCACGACTGCCCATAACAAGCAGGAAGATTTGGGACCAGCATAGGGGAGCTCTGGGGCTAGCACCTCCATCCCTGGGCCTTTGTTCTCCAGCTAGTCTGCCATAGTCCAACCTTCCAACCTTGACAGTCTCAGTTGCCTGAGGGCTGAGCTGTCACTCAGTGTTTTTCTTCTTTTCTTACCCAAGATCTGAACCCTGGAGTATATGGTCTTTTGTCCAAGGCTGGAAGGCTTTAACTGCAGATAAAAGCCCATGTTCCACCCGACTGGAAATGTAGAAACTGAGCGCCTGGCCTCAGCCCGCCCCCTCTTTTGACCATGCTCCATGCCCTTGGCACAGCCCACAGTTCTCCTACAAGGAGTCTGTCATTTCTTCCATCACAGACCTTCTGGTGGATCAGCAGCCTCTATTCTTTCAGTGTATCGTTTATCTGGCCCATTTTCCCTGCCAAGGACAGCTCTCAGAGCACACTTGATCCGGCACAGGAAAACAGTAAGCTTGGCCCGCTAGGCTGTGTGTGTTCTCCACCTCCAGCCATTCGCAACTTCTCTAAGGGTTCTTTTTGTTTTAATGGGGTGTCTCACTAGGCCAGAACAATGGCACCTCAGAATAATGGAACAGTTGTCACAATCTCAAGGCTGCTTCTCAGCAGTAGGGTTCAAGTGACATCAAACACATGAAATGGTTTGCAGCAGCTGCAGGATCTTGTCTGGCAGCCTGGGGCGAAGCCTTTATGCATCTTTGGAGGAGAGCAGTGTGATGGGCCAAGCCCAAGTAGCTGAATCATTTGCTGTGCTCTCTCCCGAATGCTGCTTGCTCAGCAGGGGGTTTCAGCAATGGCATATCAACTCTCTGGACTTTGGCCAACTAGCCTGTAAAGTAGTAAGGTGGACTAGGGATGTGGCTCAGTTGGTGAAGTGCTTGCCTAGCTTGCCCAAAAGACTGGGTCTCAGCTCCAGAACTGCATAAACTGGGCCTGGTGGCTTACACCTGTTTTGTGGAGGAAGAGGAGGAGGCAGAAATATCAGGAGTTCAAGGTCATTCTCAAGGTCTACAAGGTCTATGTAGCAAGTTCAAAGCCAGCCTAAGATATACCAGACCCAGTCTGAGTTATTTTTCTACTTCTGTGACAAAGCAGCATGACCAAGGCAACTCATCAACAAAAGGGTATAACAGCTTTTCTTTGGGGTCACCAACCAGCTCCGAAATAAAGACATGGAGACTTATTATTAGTTGTGAATGCTTAGCCTTATCTTATGCTTGTCCCACAAGCTCGCTCTCCTCTCTCTCTCTCTCTCTCTCTCTCTCTCTTCAAGATAGGGTTTCTTTGTGTAACAGTCCTAGCTGTCCTGGAACTAGCTCTTGTAGACCAGGCTGGCCTTGAACTCACAAGATCCGCCTGCCTCTGCCTCCCAAGTACTGAGATTAAAGGCGTGCATCACCATGCCTGGCTTCCCACAAATTCTTATAACTTAAATTAACCTGTTTCTGCATTTTGCCTCAAAGTTTCTTTCTTTCTTTCCTTCTTTCTTTCTTTCCTTCTTTCTTTCTTTCTTTCTTTCTTTCTTTCTTTCTTTCTTTCTTTCTTTCTTTC